ATACATTCTTCCTGACCGCAATCAGAAGGAGGGTGTTAGGTTTCACAGCCAGCCAAAGTGGTTAATTGGAGAATGTGATTTATGGCATGGCCAGAGAGGAGGGGAGAGAGAGGGTCATAGGGGAACGTAAATCTACGTGGGATCAGTCCTAACTGCATCCGAGTATTGCCGGAATGTTGCTCCTAATAAATGAATATATTTCCTTTGAAGTTTGGATCATGGCTCATGATTTAATTAGGGCATCTTTTGGAAACTTGACATCCAGTTTGGGCACTCGGTGCCATCACTGCCCTATACCATTTCAGACAAATGGCTGTCCAATCTCTCCTTAAAAACTTCCATTGTTGGAGCATTCACAACTTCTGGAGGCAAGTTGTTCCATTGATTAATTGTTCTCGCCATCAGGAAATTTCTCCTTAGTTCTAAGTTGCTCCTCTCCTTGATGGGTTTCCATCCATCGTTTCTTGTCTGGCCTTCAGGTGCTTTGCAAAATAGTGTGACTACCTCATCTTTGTGGCAGCCCCCTCAAATATTGGAAGGCTGCTATCATGTCAGGGCCTGGTGGCTCAGCAGACTAATAGCATTGTGATTAAGACCAGCTGCCTGCAATTACTGCAAGTTCGAATCTCGCCAGGCTCAAGGTTGACTCAGCCTTCCATCCTTTCTAAGGTGGGTAAATTGAGGACCCAGTTTGTGGGGGCAATAAGCTGACTTTGTATAAATATACAAAAGTATGAAGGCTATTGCTTAGCGCATTGTAAGCCGCCCTGAGTCTCCGGAGAAGGACGGCATATAAATCAATTTTTTTAAAAAAATGTCAGCCCTAAATCCTTCTTACCATTAAACTAGACATACTCTAGTTCGTCATATGTTTTAGCCCTTAATCATTGCTTCTTGTCCTGTCCTCAGGTACTTTAGAGAATAGCTTGACTCCCTCTTCTTTGTGGCAACCCCTGAGATATTGGAAGACTGCTATCATGTCTCCCCTAGTCCTTCTCACCATTAAACTAGACATGCCCAGTTCCTGCAACCGTTCTTCATCTGTTTTAGCCTCCAGTCCCCTAATCCTCTTTGTTGCTCTTCTCTGCATTCTTTCCAAAGTCTCAACAACTTTCTAGAATGTCAGCATCTTATCTGATGTTATGAGTGGTAACTATGCCTCCTTTTACATTCCTGGGTGGAAGAGTCCCTGTAGCCTAGAAGACTCTGAACTTCCACTTTTTGTAAACGGAGGAGGAAAGGATCATCTTTGGCCCATATAAAGGGAATGAACCCAAGTGATGCATGGAGCCATTATTCAGCTTAACCGCTTGGTGCAAAACAAGCTGCCTTTTAACTAATGAATGAGATCACTCCCAGATCAGTTTAGGGACATTTTAGTACAGATAAAAAAATGCAGGCCGTTCTATGGGGAAGAATGTCCCAATTCAGCAGCTTTTCACTGATAGAGAAAGAATCGGGAGAGTTTCTCCTACTGACCAACGGAACGACTGTGAAAGGACCAAATACAGCAGCCAGCATTCTGATTTCATGCTTAGGTTAAATAAGGAAAGGAAACCAGTCAAATGACTGCCTGGTGTTGTTGTTGTTTTTTTTAACACAAAGCTTTGTCTATAGTCAGTGGAAAAAACAGCTAGAACATAATTAATTGGTTAATGTAGAGGAACATGGAGAAGTAATATTTCAAGAGTGGTGATGGAAACACCAGTTTAACCCTAAGTAAGGAAGTAAATAAGGAAGGAAGGAAGGGAGGGAGGAAGGGAGGAAGGAAGGAAGGAAGGAAGGAAGGAAGGAAGAAAGAAAAAGAAAGAAAGAAAGAAAGAAAGAGAAAGAAAAGGGAATGGAGGAAGGAAAAGAGAAGGAAGGAAAGGGAGGGAGGGATGAAGGAAAAGAGATAGGGAAGGGAGACAGGGAGTAAAAGACAGAAGAGAGATGGAAGGAAGGGAGAAAGGAAAGGAGGAAGACAGAAAAGGGAAGGGAGGGAGGGACGGAGGGAGGAAAAGATAGAAAAGAGAAAGAAGAAGGGGAGGGAGGGATGGAAAGGGACGGGAGGAAAAGACAGAAAAGAGAAGAAAGAAAGGGAGGGAGGGAGGGAGGGAACAAAAGACAGAAAAGGAAAGGGAGAAAGGAAGGAAGGAAAGAAAAAACGGAACAGAGAAGAAAGGGAGGGAGGAGGAACTCAAGATTGCTTCATTTTGATTGAAATCGGCAAGCTTTCATGGTACCCCACGACTATAAAGTCGGGTTCCTGATTTGGCCTGCCCCAAAGAGCTGACAATTAACTGCTTATATAAACCAATTATCTCTGCTTATTTTGGGGAGCAAAATGCTCTTTTGCCTGTAGTAGCCCCGTCCTTCTGGCTCCCCCGTACCTTGTGCAGGTGGATCTAATGACTGGAGAAGACCCACATTTTCTGAGCCGAAGACTTATCGTCCCATCCAATAGATGCTTAATGTGGGAACTGCTAATTACAGGACTGGGGCCTTACCCACACTCACAACTTTACACCAGCGAGTGTGTAAAAGGGAAGTGGGAAAAAAAACCTCTTCTAAAATGGTTTTCTTCTGGGGGAGGGAAGAAGCCCTAGTACAGTGATGGCTAACCTTTTTGTGGGGCAGAGCGGGCGTGCGCGTGCCCACACCCATAATTCTCTGCGCCCCGCCCCCATGCATGTGTGCACGACCCCCCCCCTCCGTGCTTCCCCCACTTTTGGCATGTGATGGCATGGTGGGCCCAGTAGGCCCGTTTTTCACCCTCCCCAGGCTCCAGAGCCTTTCTAGGAGCCTGGGGAGGGCGAAAACTGCCTTCCCCACTTCCCCAGAGGCCCTCCGGAGGCTGGAAACGGCCTGTTTGCCAACTTCCAGTGGGCCCAGAAGGCCCAAAAATCAGCTCACTGGCGTGCATATGTGCACCAGACCTGAGCTCGCGTGCCCACCGATATAGCTCTGCGTGCCACAGTTCGCCATCCCGGCCCTAGTAGTATCTTTTCTTTAGCTTTCTGTTTTTTCCAACATGGTTTTGTAACAACGGTTAAGTGTTGCTTAGAACCACGGGCTATATTTAAGCGGAGCGCTTGAGGTTTCGCTGAACTCGGGAACAGAAATAACTGGAGCTAACCATGAATTATTTCACTTGCCAAGGGAAGCCTCCACCTTTTTCCTACTCCAAACCCGTCATTAAGGAGGTTTTGCACCAGCCCCAAAGCGCCTGGAATCACAAGAGTCGGAAAATTGGAAAGGGCCGTGTAACCACCGAGTCTACTTTGCAAGAGCTGAAATTAAAGCTTCCTCCACAATGGCCTCTCTAGCCTCCAACTTGGACACTTCTGGTGAAGCCCACCAGACTCGTTCAAAGCCCTCGGAGGATGGGAGCAACAAACCAACCATCACAAAACAAACAAACAAGCAAACAAACACTCTTGAGCAGTGGAACGAAGGATTGTCTACTCTACACGCTTCGGCGCATATTTAAAACTGGTGGTTTTAATATGTATATCTACTACTAAGGTTTACTAAGCCACCTGCTGAGGGCTTCAGGAGACCACCCAGCTCCAAGTCTCCTCTTCGTAGAATATAGGATAGAATATAGAATCACAGAGTTGGGAGGGACCTTGGAGGTCTTCTAGTCCAACCCCCTACATAGGCAGGAAACCCTTTACCGTTTCTTGAAGAAATAAAAGTCAGGAACTAGCTAAGCACAGAAATTTCAAACATTTGATTCTGATAGATCAGGGATCTCCAAAGTTGGCAACCTTTAAGGCTTGTGAGCTTCAGCTCCCAGAATTCCTCCACTAGCCATGCCGGCTGGGGAATTCTGGGAGTTATTTATTGGTTCGATTTATATGCCATCCTTTCTCCGGAGACTCAGGGCGGCTTACAATGCATTAAGCAATAGCCTTCATCCTTTTGTATATACCTGCTTAGTAGGGCTTTCGGCCCCCCCTAAGCGGTGTTCTTTTTTATACAAAGTCAGCTTATTGCCCCCACAATCCGGGTCCTCATTTTACCTCCTTCGGAAGGATGGAAGGCTGAGTCATCCTTGAGCCTGGTGAGATTTGAACTCGCAGTAATTGCAGGCAGCTGGCAGCTAAGTGCTACTTAACAGCATTTTAGTCTACTGCACCACCAAGGCTCTTATCAGTTGAAGTCCATAAGTCTTAAAGTTGCCAAGTTTGGAGAGCCTGGTGCTAATTAGCTGATTTATGCACAGAACAATTACCCCCCCATCTCTCTCTCCCTCCCTCCCTCCTTCTCTCTCCCTCCCTCTAGTTTCCACCCATTGCTTCTTGTCTTGCCCTCAGGTGCTTTGGAGAATAGCGTGACTCCCTCTTCTTTTGGGGCAGTCCCTGAGATATTGGAAGGCTGCTATCATGTCTCCTCTAGTCCTTCTTTTCATCAAACTAGACATACCCAGGTCCTGCAACCGTTCTTCCTATGTTTTAGCCTCCAGTCCCCTAATCCTTGGTGGCGCAGCAGACTAAAGCACTGTTAAGTAACACCAGCTGCCTGCAATTACTGCAAGTTCAAATCTCGCCAAGGCTCAAGGTTGACTCAGCCTTCCATCCTTCCGAGGTAGGTAAAATGAGGACCCAGATTGTGGGTGCAATAAGCTGACTTTGTATAAAAAAGAACACTGCTTAGGGGGGCCCGAAAGCCCTACTAAGCAGGTATGTACAAAAGTATGAAGGCTATTGCTTAACGCATTGTAAGCCACCCTGAGTCTCCGGAGAAGGGTGGCATATAAATGAAATCAAATCAATCAATCAATCAATCAATCAATCCTCTTTGTTGCTCTTCTGTGCACTCTTTCTAGAGTCTCAACATCTTTTTTACATCATGGCGACCAAAACTGGATGCAAATATTCCAAGTGTGGCCTGGCCTTACTAAGGTCTTATAAAGTGTGTGCTTGGGGGGGTTTGTCTCTTTTGGTGCGAATAAGGCTAGTTAACTCTTGTTACAGATTTGCTGTCTAACTCTTAAGTCGACAACTTTGTTCCAGGTGCCGACTCCCTGTGTGGACACAGCCTGAGCTTTAGCGATGAAAAGTTACATTCCTCTACTCCATCCAGTCCTTCTGGTTCTTCTCCCACAATCGCCTCTCGAAAAGGTTTGAAGGGTCATTTTTTTTAAAAAAAAAAGTAAAAAAATTCTCCAGAATGAGAATCACGACCGGGCGAATGTGATCATGGGGAGGATAAAAGGGTTGTTAAGCAGAGGTGGTGGAGTTAAAAATTTTTAGCAAGGGGTTCTCTGCCTGGTTGCTGGGTGGGCGTGGCCTAGTCAGCCTCCTTCAGCATGGTGGGGGGGCAGTTTTTGCCCTCCCCAGGCTCTGGAGGCTTTTCTTGAGCCTCCAGGAGGGCAAAAACGGCTTCCCCAGGCTCTGGAGGGGCCTGTTTCCAGGCCTGTTTCCAGACTTCCCAAACTTCCAGTAGGTCTGTTTTTCACCACCATTCCGAACCTCCCCGTGTGCCCTGCACTTACCTGCATCCAAAACAGGCTGCATGGGGACTCCTGGGAGGGGCAGGGCGGAGTGGGCGGGGCCAGCCAGGAGTGGGATTTGGGGGTTCTCCGAACTGCACAGAATCTTAGCTAGAAGTTCTCCCGAACCTGTGCAGTCCACCCCTGTTGTTAAGTGTGAAAACTGGTCATAAGTCACATTTTTTCAGTGCCGTTATTTTCAGAAACAGCAGAAGATTGAAGTGCAATTTTCCGGGAATAACAGCAGTCAGGTTCTTGTGTTACCAATTAAGGGACCAAGTCAGTCGATAATCTGTTTTGCTGATCATCTTTTTCATCTATATATCCATCTCTTTGCCCCCCACAAACATTATTCTTTATTTTACAAGATCACCAAAAAATAAAGAGAGTACCAGAAAACTAACTATCAAGTCAACATTTCTATTGCGTAGACATCATCGGTTTTGTAATTGTCTTTTTTTTTTCCCCAGCAAAACTTGGAGACACCAAAGAACTAGAAGACTTTATTGCTGATCTTGATAGAGTTTTGGCAAGTAAGTAATCAACCTTGATTCCTAGTAGATACCTGGGCAAGGATCAGGGTACACACCAAGAGATTCCTGCCCAGGAAACAATGAACAGATATGACCCTGTACACAAAGGAAATCCTCCAGGACAATGTCAAAAAAATGTCAAGATGGCAGCTGTGACTACACAAAGCCTAGGCTTTATACAGGTGTGTATCACACATTGCATCTGAATACAGGAACCTATTTAGACAGTATATATTGATTTAGGTCAAAAGGACTAAGACTGTGTTAGAAATTCTGTTTATATACAGCACCACAGAACACCACAGAGCAAACAAGGAGCACCATCACCATGTGCTTTACTGCTTAGCTGTTTAACTGTAACAGGAAACAGGAAGCTCTACTTAGACCAAAAGAGCATAGAGTATATACCATAGATCCAAACTTGTCATCTGCTGGCTGAATACTACTGTAGTTGTTGCATAGAAATACATTCCAATAATGAATTCCAACAGGCTGAATTGATGTTTGACTGGATGCTTCCATTGGGAATCCGAATACAGGTAGTCCTCGATGTATGACCACAACTGAGCCCAAAATCTCTGCTGCTAAGCAAGACAGTTGTTAAGTGAGTTTTCCCTCGTCTTACCATCTTTTTTTGCCACAGTGGTTAAGTGAATCACTGCAGCTGGTAAGTTAGTAAGTGAGTCTGGTTTCTCCATTGTCGTCGTAACTTTGAACGGTCACTAAATGAAATGGCTGTAAGTTGAGGGCTACCTGTCTCAGGTTAGTTACTTTAGCTCTGATTTATTTCACTCGGTGTTCAAAACTTGTATCTATCATTCCAATTGCATTGCAAATGCATCTTGAAAGAGTATTTATACTGCATAAACGTAACAGTAATATTTATTCCATCTGATGTTTGCACAGGTATGTGAAACACTTCATTTTGACCTGCCTTCAAGTGGATCAGATTCCTGCAACCCACCATCTAATGGGAGAGACGCAGGAATCCTTCTCGTCTCGGTGTTTTTCCAGCAACAGCCTCTTATACTTTTAACACGTCATAATTGTGATTTTTCTAGAGACAGAATCAAATAACGCAAGTGCTCAAAAAGCATTTTTTAAAAATGTAGCTTAACATTAATTTAAAAGGGCTTTTATGAAAAGATTGGAAATTCTATATCATTAACTTTGAAACGTTTTCATAATATATTTTTGTACGTGAATAAAAGCTAAACTGGAACTTAATATATATAAATAAGGAGAGAAAGAGATTAATTGTATGTATGTATGTATGATGGGTGGATGGATGTTTGCATAGATGAATTGATGGACAGACAGATGAAAGATGGATGGATGAAGGCTAATTAATTGAGGATAGGTAGCTAGATGGTAGTATGGGATGAATAGATGGGTCATTAATTGAGATAAATGAGAAATGAATGCATAGATGGATGGATGGATGTTTAATTCCATGGGAGGATAGACAGAGAGATGATAGATAGAAAAAGAAATAGATGACAGAATAAATGGATAGATGGCTGATTGATTAATAGAAGGAATTGATAAATGGATGATAAATTATAGTGGATGGATGCCTGATTGAAAGAGAAAATGATAAGGCGATTGGGAGATAGAATACATGGATAGGCAGATAAATGTTTAATTGGAAGAAAAGATGATGGATGGATGGATAGATGGATGAATAGACAGATAGATAAATGGCTAATTGATTGAAAGAGAGAGGGGGAAATGATTGGTAGAGAGAGATACGGTTTAAAGGGCTATGAACTACTTACTGTTTTGTATTTGTGTTGTACTTTTTCCTCTATAAACTCATAGTAATTAATTCAGAAATGGTGTAGGGTCTTCTGCTTGGGCGAGGGGTTGGACTAGATGACCTACAAGATCCCTTCCAACTCTGTTAATCTATTAATTAGAATAGTCTCCATCTAAACGCTAGTCAGGAAGAGAGTTTTTCAGATTTTGCCAGATTATTCCGTCCTTTTAGTTCTGGATTTTGGCACTTGCCAGGTTTGTGAAAATTTCGTTCTGTTTATTAATGTAGTAATGGAATGAGATTCCTTACCTGATAATTGCTGTATCTTACTCCAGGGACACCACAATACCCACAGAAGCTTAATTGTCTCCACAATTATTGCCTAAACCATTACATTCACAGCAAGAGCTCCCTTTTCTCTTTGAATAATATTAGCAGTTTTTCAAAAAAAAAAAAAAGAAACAAATAAATAAAAATAATAATCCTCTCCAAAAACGTGGTCCAGAAACAGCGTGCTGAATAAAAGCTAAGCCTTGAAAACTCAAAACATTTTCCAATAGTAACTTATTTCCTGATTATTTTTTATGGTCCAGCACGAAAGACAGCTGTGAATGGTATTTACAATAGCTTGAAGGGGGCAAATGTTTTTAACTGGATGTACATATTTCCTGCTGTGCAATAAATGAATTCTTCAAAATAACTCAAAGCAACCTCAGATTCTTTCTTTTTTTTAAAAAAAAAATCACACTTCTTATCCAGAAACTTCAAAAAAAATTAAGACCATGATCGCAGCGAGTAGGGTAGAAGCAGGGGTGAAATCCAGCAGGTTCTGACAGGTTCTGGAGAACTGGTAGCGGAAATTTTGAGCAGTTCGGCGAACCGGCAGCGGAAATTTTGAGTAGTTTAGAGAACTGGCAAATACCACCTCTGGCTGGCTCCAGGAGTGGGGAGGGAGTGGAGATTTTGCAATATCCTTCTCCCAGGAGTGGGGAGGGAATGGGGATTTTGCAGTATCCTTCTCCTGCCACGCCCACCAAGCCACGCCCACAGAACTGGTAGTAAAAAAAACTTGGATTTCACCACTGGGTAGAAGAGAGAAAAATTACAACTCCTGGGAAGTTCTTGGCTGGTTGACTGGGAAAAAATTGGGATTTATCAACCCATTGGAAGGTTAGAAACTGTCTTCTCTGCCGGGAGATAAAATCACCATCACTTTCCACCTCTTTTAATGACCGCATAATCAGCAGTGGGTTTCACATATTCTTACCACCGGTTTGCCGTGCGCCTTCCACGCCTGTGCCCATCCTTGCTGTGCACATCCTCTGCACATGCGCCCGGTTTTCCATGCATGTGCTTTGCTCACGTGTGCGCCTTCTGTGCCTCGAAAATGTAGCTAAGTAGGACGGCATTACGTCTGGGCGGGTGAGCTGGTTGATTTGCAGTCGCCGCTACCAGTTCGCATGAACCAGTCCGAACCGGCTGAATACCATCTCTGCCCATAATCCTTTGCAGGGTGGAGTCTGGGCAACTGAATGGAGCTGAGTGTTTACTGGCCGGATGCCCTTCCTGTCTCCAATGCAGAGTTTCCCCCCCCCAGTAGATATATTCCCAGTGTGCCCAGAGAGAGAAATATCTGCCTCTACTGAGGATCGAACTCACAGCCTCCTGATTGTAAGGCGAGAGCTCCATGCTTAGATCTATTTATGAGTGTGCTAAGAACTATAAATCCCAACGTTCCGGGTGTTTCCTTAATATGTGATGCAACTTTTGGATTCCTCTTTGGTTTGCCCATTAGCATAATCTTTAAATTTTTGCTGGTCTGGAATAGATCTCTAGGAGACTAATAGTAAAACCAAAAGTTGGAGGTGAAGGTACTTTTTGTCTTCACCTGCTGATGAGATGCCTCATTCAAGGGGATGGTGTCACACCTGAGGAGCACCTGGTCAAAGCCAGGGTCCTTCAAGAAACTTGGCTCTGTTTCTTTCCTTCGGTCAACAAGAATTGGTCAATGGAGTAGGCCCATCCGTCATTTCCCATGGCCCCCCTCTGCTGGGTGGAAGCGCCTAGTCCTTAAATTAATCTATATATTCCGACGGCTTTCAGGAATGGATGCACGTTCACTGTGAAAATAATCTGTAAATCACACCGTTTACATTCTCAGTTCTCTCCCAGAGCCCTTATTAAGCCCTGCCATTCTTTACTAATCGTTTACAGAACTTTTACTAAGCCATGCCATTTTTACTAACTTTTTACTAAGCATTTATTAAGTCATGCCATTCTTTACTAACCTGTTACTAACCTTTACTAAGCCATGCCCTTTCTTTACTAACCATTACAGAACCTTTACTAAACCATGCCATTCTTTACTAATTCTTTACTGACCCTTTACTGACCCTTTACTGAATTTTTACTAAGCCCTGCCATTATTTACTAATTGTTTACAGAACTTTTACTAAGCCATGCCATTATTTACTAACTTTTTACTAAGCATTTATTAACTCATGCCATTCTTTACTAAGCCTTTATTGAACTTTTAGTAAGCCATGCTATTCTTTACTAACCTGTTACTAACCTTTACTAAGCCATGCCCTTTCTTTGCTAACCCTTTACTGAATCTTTATTAAGCTATGCCCTTTGTTTACTAACCATTACAGAACCTTTACTAAACCATGCCATTCTTTACTAATTCTTTATTGATCCTTTACTAAATCTTACTAAACCATGCCATTCTTTACTAATTCTTTACTGACCCTTTACTAAGACAGGCCATTATTTACTAACTCTTTACTAACCGTTTACTGAATCTTTACTAAGCCATGCCATTCTTTACTAACCCTCTACTGAACGTTTGCTAAGCCATGCCATTCTGGGCTGTAGAAAGCAGGCCGGCAGTCTGAGACAGGAGACATACATAAGCAAGCAAAGAGAAGGAAAGCTTACTCGAAAGCTACACAGTGGCGGTTGCGTCTCTGGGGAGGATGCAGGAAGCGCTGTGCATAAACATAAGTGTGTGTGCCCATTCATTTTCGACCACCGCGATTCCTGCAGCTGGTCTGCAACTTCCAGAAGGGGTGGTGCAATGCTCTTTAGCGGTGTTTCTCAACCTTGGTAGCTTGAAGATGGGTGGACTTTAACTCCCAGAATCCCCCAGCCAGCAGTGCTGGCTGGGGGATTCTGGGAGTTGAAGTCCACCCATCTTCAAGCTTCCAAGGTTGAGAAACACTACTCTATAGGTTGAAAAACTTTAAATTCTAAGAGCACGTGGATAGGAGAGTCTTTCTTCCGGTTTAGAAAAGGGATATTCATCATAAAATCAGAGATTTTATGATTTTAGGCATATTTCCCAATCTGCTATACAGGTCGTCCTCGACTTACGACCACAACTGAGCCCAAAATTTCTCTTGCTAAGCGAGGCAGTCGTTAAGTGAATTTTGCCACACATTTCCACCTTTCTCGCCAGGGTTGTTAAGTGAAACACCGCAAGTTCTTAAGTGAATAATAACATGGTTGTTATGGGAATCCGGCTTCCCTCATTGTCTTGGCTCCTCGGAAGGTCGCAAAAGGGAATCACGTAACACACCCCCGGGACACTGCAACCGTCGTTAAGTCCATGCCAGTTGCCAAGTGTCTTTCAATTCTGATCACGTGACCACAGGATGCTGCAACGGGAAGCCTGCAAAAATAGTTGTAAGTCCATTTTTTTTTTCAGGGCCGGGTGTAACTTTGAACGGTCACTAAACAAACGGCCGTAAGTCGAGGCCCCCCCCCCCCCGTGGCTCTCCAGCCTCTGATCGCTGCAAGGGATTCATCGAAGGGGCGGCTTCCCACGAAAAAGTTGTCGACGGGAACTCTGCAAACTCCGTTCTCACGCATCCGTCCAGTTTTACCGGAAACTGCGGTGGGAAAGGGGACGGGGGAGTATCTCTCTTCCTCCTCTGTTCACCCCCTCCTCCCACCTTCTCCTTTTAATTTTAATTAATGACGCCTTTCATTCCGGTGCAACCCACGAAAATTGTAGGCACAAGGAGCTCTTTGGACGAAAAGAAGCCGGAGCGTTCCAAAAGTTTCGGCTGCTCCTTAAGCAACTCAATGAATTCTGAAGGGAAGGTTTGTTTGTAAGGGGGGATTTTTCCCCCCCTCCCCTTTTGCTTGCCGTGAAAAAAAGCGCACAACTGCACACTTTTTTTCCCGCTGCATTCGGTGGAGAATAAGAATAGGAAAAAGAGGCAAATCCACACAAACGGCTTCTTCTTTCGTTTTTTCAAACGTCGAGAGTTGGGAAAAGTAGACCCTTTACTGTTTTTTGCACAGATGCAGCTGGTGGTTTTTTTTTTTTTAAGCAGCATCTCATATGGGGTGGCAAAAAAAGGTCGTAAAATGGGGCAAAACTCCCTTAACAACGATCTTGCTCAACGACAGAAATGTGGGGGCTCAATTGTGGTTGTTAAACCGAGAACTCCCTGCATCTTTAAACGTTGCTGAAATTCAGGAATGTTGCCCTGTTGAGGCTCGTTCCTCGAGTCTCTTTTTTGGAATAACCCAATGAGTGGTTATCAAGAGGTAAATAAACTGCAGGAGGATGTTTCTGGCTAGGTAGACTCATGGCTAATAATTCAGTCCTGTGTGCATGAAAGGTGATTTCCTTACTAAGGTTTTGAAGTCCAAAGTTTAGAATTTTCTGCCCCTTGGTCCTCTCTGAGTTTGCTTGTTTTCTTCCAGACGTTTCATTGCCCAACTAGGTAACATCATCAGTGCTAGAAGGGATATGGAGGAAGGAGGAGGAGGAGGAAGAGAGGGAGGGGAAGAGGAAGACTGTGGGGTCCTTGGTGCTCCCTGAGCTTGCTTGTTTTCTTCCAGACGTTTCATTGCCCAACTAGGTAACTTCATCAGTGCTAAAAGGGAGTTGGATTTGCTCTCTGTTAGTGACAGTGATGTTACCTAGTTGGGTCATGAAATGTCTGCAAGAAAACAAGCAAGCTCAGAGAGCATCAAGGACCCCTTAGTCGTCTTCCTCCTCCTCCTTCTCCCTATAAACCCAATTCCCTTCTAGTACTGATGATGTTCCCAAGTTGGGTCATGAAACGTCTACAAGAAAACAAGCAAGCTCAGAGAGCACCAGGGAGCCTCATTTCAACCCTGAGCTACAAATATTCTTCTTTATTGGTACTTTGTGCATCAGGAAGCTTATTTTATTTATTTCCTTGATTTCTAGACTAAACTTTGCTCTCCATACCTGCCACAACTTGTTTTTTGGGGGTTGCTTTGGCTGGGCCCATTTCTTTTTCCCCTTCCGATGGTCACGGCACGTTGCAATCACAACCCTTGGCACGCTGCGCAAGTGTGAACCTGGGAGACAGCTAAAAAACGGCCCCCGCCTCGTCTCTGCCTGCAAAGATTTGTCCATCAAAAAGACGAACTATAAGAAAGCTCTTCTTTCTTTCTTTTTCTTTCTTTCTTTTTCTTTCTTTCTTCTTTCTCTCTCTCTCTCTCTCTCCCTTCCTCCTTTCTTTCTTGTCTCTTCCTTCCTTTCTTTTTTCTCTCCCTTCCTCTTTCCTTCTTCCTTTCTTTGTCTCTCCCTTCCTTCCTTCCTTCCTTCCTTCGTTTTCTTTTGTCTCTTTTTCTTTCATTTTTTCCCTTTCTTTCCTTCCTTCCTTCTTTGTCTCCTTCTTTTTCTTTGTCTCTCCATTCTTTCTTTTTTTT